GAAACAGATGTGCCTAGTGTGGTCCGAAAAGGTGGCCTTAAAAATGAAAGGCCATAAATAATTGAAATAAGGGATGAGATTTGATAAGCTATTTTAAGTAAACATTATATAGATAATTAAATTGAAAACAAAAAAGAAGGGGCATCAAAATCTATCTCTATATTTGTTTAGCCTGATAATAAAAAATTGAGGCGTGACAGGTCGGTGGCATAACATTTCGCGATCTTGGATGAGTAAACCGAAGCACTTAAGACTGAATTTTCTCAAATGAATCTGAGATGCCTAGTGGTGTACAGAATCAAATTCAATCCTAGGGTAGACAAAGACCTGGCCCAAAAGGTGCCTCTATTTAAATGTGTTGTAGAAAGTAGTAAAACAAGCTTACCTCGCTACTTCGGGTTAGCACAACTAAAATTCCTCAATCAGCACAAAGAATAAGATAATAAAAAATATATGGAACCCGATAGTGAGGTAGACTAATGTTAGGTAGAAAACGACAAGAATACCTCTAACTGACCCACCTTCAATGGAACTGAGCACATACCCCTGCCCATTGGGGAAGCAGCGAATGCAGCGTGTCTGGAAACGCAAATTTGATTCGCGCTGTTCAATTGGCTGGTTCATCTGCCGAAGGTCCCAGATGAGCACATGACGCTGAGCAGTGCCCACAACAAGGTTATGACGCACCGTGTCTAAAGTGTATACAGGGGCTGGTTGGATATGTTGGCTTTGTGCACCGGTGGCTGAACAAGCCGCTTGCGCCATCAATTGGGCAGCCCCAACTCCTGCAGCAGCAGTGACTACGGATCTACCGGACTGCCCGGGGGCTCGAGGGTCCCAAATGCGCACTGTGCAATCCCAGCTTCCTGTTAGCACAGACTGTATAGTCTCACTGTAATGAATGGAGCTGATACCACGATCGCATTTTCCGAGTGGATTGCCTGTAATTAAGTGGACAAAAATGGAATATTGTTGATGAAAATAAAATTGAAAGTGTGAGAAATATGGGAATTATTGTTAAAAAGTGCCGATTGTATTATATAAAGAACTTTGGCGTAGTGCCAATTAAAAAATCTAAATAACAAGTAATCTTGATACTGGGGTATCTTTGATTTCGTTTGAAGTCGGTCAAGCGATTCGTAGATTGGCCTCACTGGATACCGCAGGAGGATTGCCTTGGACTTTTGTCTGCTGAATTGTGCGAAGAGGACCTCGGCTTATCGTCTTAGGACCCCGATGACTCCGTCCTATCAGAGACATTGTTAGAGCCATAAACCATTATTCACAAAACATCACCAAAAAACACTACATCGACAAAGGTAACCAGCTGAAATCCTATATGCCTCTTATACCTCAATTTGTGATCTTAGAGAGGCATTCTATTATTTGGTTGGCTGACATATGAATACTTGTCCTAAATGCGTGTAAGAAGGTCAAAGTGATGCAGGCAGGAGAGCGGATTTGATCACAACTTATATCAATGGAAATTAATTAGAGAATGATCCAATAGTCCTGGGTCTTGTTACCACTTCGTGGATGCGTGTTTCCGTGTCTATACAACCCCGAATTAGTTGATAAATTTAGGTTCAAAAACAAGCTCCAGCTTAGTCTAGTCTTCTCTTAGTCAGCGGTTGATCCTGTTCCCTTTCCTTCTCTCTCTCTTTCATTCTATTTTTATTTAATCTTCTTACTCCCTGGTCCTGATGATTAACAACTGCAAGGCGCAGATCTTTTGTGATTATTAGTCCTACTTGAATTCTATAAGGATGATAAGAAAAGTGTATGGCAAATTTTGTAAAATAGTGGTTGGACAGGATTGAGAAGATAAAGAGAGAAGAATCACCGGACAATGGAAAAGCTAATTGGTCTTGAGTTTATTTAGGTTTGTCAAACCTCGCATGCATTGAATCTCACGAACTTTGCATGCACACAACACGACTACATACGTCAACACAGTTGAAGGAAAAATTTTAAGTGATTTTGGTGAAGATGCAGATGTTCACTCACAACCGTAGCCATTTCGTATACAACAGTCTTTAATTAGCTACAAGCATAAAGTGAAAGCATGAGATAACTAACCCAATTATGATATATCTCTTTTAATGGAAAAATTTGGACTATAATATGCAGAAATTGGTTGACCTCGTTCTCGCAACTTGGTCTTAGTAGAGCGTACCTAGTCCGAAATCGTCTGCCACAGAAGTTGTCATGATTCCCAGCATCAGAAGGTGGACTTGGTACATTCTCAAACGTTTCGCCTTCATCGTAGTTGGCATCATCAGTGAGTTTTGCCATTCTCCGCACCAAGCTACGAACTTGTCGAAGAGGCAAGTAAAGTCAATGCCTCGACAAACGTTCTGGCGAAAACGGTTACACTATCACTCCTCTTTCTGTCCTAGCCAATATACCTACTCTTTACCCTCTTATCCCATCTACTGATCAGCATGAGGATAGAAAGAAAGTACTAAACTTATCATCAATTTCTTTCAATCCCGAAACAACTGCTTTTCTGGAAAAAGGAATCAATTATTCAATTCAACATCACAGAAGCCTTCTATGAGACATCCTGGTGGAGGTTATCAATATCGCCGATAAGTTCCCTGAGGAGTCAAAACGGGAAATGGAGATGGAACTAATTCCAAAGATCTTGACACATCAGGAGCCGACATAAGGGAACATATTTGCCGTGATACGCAAAACCCTGGAAACGAATGAACAATTAGTCCTTTAGGCGGACAAAGGAGGAGCTACAGTTATAATGGACAAAAAACAATATACCGAGAAGATGGAACATATTCTTAGACAGGACCACATGTCGTGTGTTAAACAAGGACCCAACTATGAAGATCAATGGTATCTTAAGTGGCATGCTGAAAGATATGCATAGGAATGGGAAAATTGACGCATGGACAATAAATTCAATAATAAGAAAGGATGCACGACCACCAGCAGCATACGGATTACCGAAGATACACAAAGAAGTCGAACCATTAAGGCTGATAGTCAACAACAAGTATGGAGCAACACACAAATTGGCAAAGTTTATATGCTTGAAACTCAA